GACCAGATCTTAGTTTTTTATGTCTTTCGGCGCTGAGTGGGCTATTGTTTTTTATTATTCTATCATTTTATTATTTTGCTATTATTTTATATTTTGTATTATATTATATTTTAGTATTTCATTATTATGCTATTATATTCCCTGTGCGTTTTCACCTGAGCAGTGACAGCGCGCAACGGCAATTACAGAAATAACCTCAATTTCTCTTGCGCAAAATCAATGTGCTGCCTTAGCTTTTCATCTTTTGGATATATAATATAAATTACATCTGAATTGTAGTGGGTAACGCTGCCGCGCAGAGGGCACCCTCGCCGTTTACGGTCAAGGGGATACAAGGGGAATCTTGCAACAGGAACAACGAAGGGAAGGACAAGAAAACACACGAATATGCCGAAGGCCTTTTCGCTATTGCTTCATCAGGGCATACTGACGAAGCAATAGGGAAAAGGCCTTCGGCATATTCGTGTGTTTTCTTGCCCTTCCCTTCGTTGTTCCTGTTGCAATCTGTTCACCATGAATTCCACAAGGGGAAACCGGCATTTCACCCGATGATGATGATGATGACAATTCCCAGCTGGTTCTATGATGATAATGAGAATAATTTGATATAGTAATGATAATGATGGCAAGACTAATGAATAATGACGAGAATACATGCATACGTATCCTACATGACTAAATACGTGGAAACGGGCGTAAGCACTTGAATAAATTAATGTGATTTTGTACCAACTTGCCATATGGTCTGAACAGCCAGGTCTCCCATCAACAAAAGTCAAACAATTCCCTGCTGGTTCTATAGGGGGGGGAGGAGTGCTGGAGAAGGAAGAGGGTATGAAGACAGAAAGGAACAAGAAATGGGAAAAAGAAGATAGGAAAAAAGAGAGGCAAGGGGGAGAGAGAAGACAGGGGGAGATGAGAGAGAGCATTCCTTCCACGAAATCTCTACAAATGGTTGGGTGGGGAAGCGATGAGGAGGGGGTGGAAAGAGGAATGGAAGATGGAAACGTGATACTGCTTTCTTTTCTACAGCAACAGACTGATGTATTTCTAACTTTTGTTATCACACACACTGTCTCTGGTTCATTCACACACACACAAGCGATGAGCCGTGGCTTTCATTAGTAGCTATGATTTATTCCGTTTTGTGTAAGTCTATTGAGAATCTTATCTGATTTGTACACATTATGAGTAGTAATCAGAGATTGTATAACGTGAGTGGATATATTTTAGATATCATGTGCAGTGTTTAGACTGTGAAATTTAGGGTGTTAGACAGGCTTTTGTTTGTGTATGCTTTTTATTTCTATGATAGTTAGTTTGTTCACACACACAACAACACTGCACTACACCACAACACACGACCCGTACACGGATTAGAATGGTATTTTTACACAACAATATACAACACACACACCTGAGTAGGCTAGTCTTATCACATCACATACAGTCACACACACAACACACACATACAATACACACATGACAGTGACAGGTAGACCACAACACACACAAAAATAATTACACACACACACAAAGCAAATAGTTTTTTAAAAGTAGTTGGTAACAACACACCGACACAACACACACAACACACAACACGCACTCAATAGTACACACATACACACCACAGATAAATGTGTTTACGAGTATCTCACATACACACACACACTAAATATCAGATGATTATTGCTCTTGATGTATAACTTGAGGGTAATAGCCTCGAGCACAATGACAGATGTGTGGCGTGATCGCGATAACTTTAGTTTTGTATGATTTCGGTTCCCACAGTGCACACACACAACACACATCATCGTTATAGTCATATCATAACATACATATAATAATATATATATATTATATATATATATATATTATTATATATATATATATTACGAGACAACAAATACTATCTATCATCTCGTCTCGTCTCGTCTCACTCTCTCTCAACTAGCTTATATGAGTATGTGGGTCTCTCCTCGTCTCTCTCTCGTCATCTCTCTGCTCTTGGGTTGCTTCTGTCATGTGACATCCTCCTCTCTCTCTCTATATATATATATAATATATATAGTATATTATTATAATATTATATATATAATATGTAAAATACATATATATTAATTTATATATATATATATATATATATATAATATATGTAGTGTGTGTGTGTGTGGTGTGTGTGTGTGTTGTGTGTTGTGGTGTGTGTTGTGTGTGTGTGTGTTGTGTGTATTGTTTGTGTGTGTGGTGTGTTTTTGTTGTGTGTGTGTGTATTAGTATAATATTGTTATATGTGTATATATATCATATATATTATATATATATACTTAATATAATATATACATACAAATAAATTATATATATATGTGTGTAATATTATATATATTATACTATATATTATGTATGTATGATACATATGTACATTATATTATATAATATATTATAGTTATATATAGATATATATATGGTATATATGTATGTATATATTGTATATATGTATATAATGTATAGTTGCTTATATATGTACTGTTATGTATGTATTGTATGTATGTATCGTATGTAATATATAATTATATATACATATATATATTATATATATATAATATATATATATATATATATATATATATTA